AGGATTGGTAGATCCGATCCACAACCACAGAATCGCCCACAGAAGCGAACACATAAACAGGAGTACCCAAAGACTCACGAGGGATATATAGGAAATGAGCAAATAGAGATGACACATATGAATAGGTAGACCCTGGATAAAATAATACCGAAGCATCCCTATCGCAAACTGAAATAATACATGTGATCACGGCATATGAGGCTACTACATCTAGTCTGGCCGGAAAAGCATAGAATCTAGCTGGAGCACCGACTGGCTGGCCTCCACCTTACTGTCCTCCACCTCTAGGACGACCTCTAGCTGCCTGCCCTCCGCCTCTGGGCGGCCGCACAACTGGCGGGGCTGGTGGAGCTGAAATCATGGGCTGCTGACCCTGCTGCACTGCCTTGCCCCAAAGTCTGGGGTAGGTCCTCTTCATGTGACCCGAATCTCCACACTCGTAACAACCTCTTGGTACCATAGACTGCTGCCCTGAAGTATGACCCGGATGGCCTGAATACCCACTAGAAGGACCCTGAGCAGCTGGTGGGCGGTATGAACTCTCTGGTATGACGCTGAAATAAGCACTGGAAGAACCCTGAATAGCAGGTGGGCAGTAAGAACTCTCCGGCATCGCATTGAAATAAGGCCTCACTAGAGCACCTCGAGGAGGTGGTGGTGGTGCTGAATATGGGGGCTTGCTGGGTTGGCCCTTCCCAAACTGACCTCTGCCCCTAGCCGGGGCACCTCTAAACTCTCCAGAGAAACGAGCCCTCTTGTCCTGCTGTATCTGCTCTCTACCCCTCTGACGGTAGCCCTCGATCCTCCGAGCAATCTCCATGACCAACTGATAAGGAGTCCCCATCTCAACCTCTCGGGCCATGTTGGCCCTAATACCGGAGTGCAACCCCGCAACAAATCTCCACACTCTCTCTGCGTCAATAGGAAGTATCATGAGTGCATGACGAGATAACTCAGAAAACCCCACCTCATAGTCGGTCACTGACATCTGACCCTGCTCAAGCTGCTCAAATTGATATTGCAACTCTTCCCTCTCGGAGGGTGCAATATACTTATCCAAGAAAAGCTGTGTGAACTGGCCCCAAGTAATGGGAGGGGAATCTGCTGGTCTGCCAAGAACATAAGACTGCCACCATCTACGGGCCTTGCCCTCCAACTGGAAAGTAGTGAAGTCAAACCCATGAGACTCCAATATCCTCATGTTGTGCAGTCTGTCCCTGCACCTATCAATGAAATCATGGGCATCCTCATGACGCTCACCTCCGAAGATAGGAGGGTGTAGCCTAGTCCATTTGTTCAATAACTTTTGTGGATCGCTGTCCGCAACTGGTCTACGCTCAGGTGCCACTGCTGTAATTGGTTGGGGCCCATCCGCGGGTAGTATGCTCGGAGTCTGATACACAGCAGTTGCATGCCCAAAAGCCTGAGCAGTAGGGGTCTGTGCTCCCCCTGCCGCCTGAGATGTGGCTGGGTCTGCTGGAAATAAACCAGCCTGGGTCATAGAATCCATAAACCGCAGCATACGGCCCATAACCTCCTGAAAGCCCGGTGCTGTCATGAACTGCGCCGGGGCAGGCTCTGCTGCGGGCTGCACCTCTCCCTGCTCCTCAATAATGGGATCCTCTACTGGATCCGTTGGTGGTGCTACCGGGGCAGCTCTGGGACGCCCTCGTCCCCTACCTCGGGCCGGTGCCCTCCCCCGGCCTCTACCTCGGTCTCTAGCAACGGGGGGAGCAGCCCCTCCCAGTTCTGGAACGTCCGTTGTACGCGTCCTCACCATCTGTGAGAGAATAGAAGAAGGAAATTTAGTATACCATCAACTGCATGATAGAAGATGAATAAAGAGTAGTTTCCTAACACCCTATAGCCTCTCGAAGATAAGTACAGACGTCTTCATACCAATCCGCAAGACTCTACCAGGTTAGCCCATAACTTGTGAGACCTACGTAAACCTAGTGCTCTGATACCATATTGTCACGACCCAATTCCATGTCAGGTCGTGATGGCGTCCAGCACCACCGCTAGACAAGCCAACAGTGAACAACCTAGTGATTTCCATTTTTTTTAAAGAATTTCCAACCACAAATTTTACTTAAATTTAAGCATCTAGTATTTAATGAAATTACAAGGCAACTAATGCAAGAACCACTAGAGCAAATCATGACTATAATTTTACAACCCAAAAATAATAGTCTCATAATGTGTGTGCCAGGATCTAGTGTCACAAGTACGAGGGCAACTAGTAGAATGTACAAAAAAAATATAACTATCCTACTGCCTGAAATAGAATAGACAGTAATAAACAAAAGAGAGACTCCGGTATGCTGTTGAACGGCTCAGAAGGAGGAAAGCTCATCGTGAAATCTCGGTCAAGTATCAAAATACGCGCCGGACGGGTAGCTAGATGCACCTGCTTCAGATCCTGTACAATAAAGTACATAAGCGTAGTATGAGTACATAAACAATATGTACCCAGTAAGTATCCAGTCTAACCTCGAAGAAGTAGTGACGAGGGGTCGACTTGACACTTACTAGGGCCAACAATAATATAATTTAAGTGTTATGCTAAGCATGGTTGTCATGAATAATGCCATTAGTTAATAACAGGAACTGACAAGTTCTTTCATAATATAATTTCAATTTCCGTCATATCAATTAACAATTTACATTTCAAGGCATTAAAGCAGTCCAAATCACAGAAAGTTCCAAGCAAGTAGCATGTGCAAGTAATGCCGAGGTTGTACGGCCCAATCCAACATAACAATAAAAAGTGCACTGCCGGAGGGTCGAACGGCGCAAATCATAGATGCATCTATTCACCCCGCTCGCGAATCATTCATGTGACGCGGTCAAATATAATTCAATCATTTAAATCAAATTATTTTCTTAAATTCTTTTCTTTAAAGAAGAAGGCAATTCAATTTAAAGCTTTAAAATCCTTAGAAATTCTCAACTCAATATCATTTAATACAAATAGCAAATATCGTCAAATAACGGTATTCACAAAGCATTGTGTAAACCTAAACTACCCGGACATAACAGGAATAGTAGCTAGTACGGACTCTCGTCACTTCATGCGTACGTAGCCCCCACAAATACTCACATTTTTAATTATATTAACCTATGGGGAAATTTTCCTCTTACAAGGTTAGAAAAGAGACTTACCTTGTCCCAAATCTCACTTCCAAACTCAAGAATGTGCTCAAACCCTCAAATCGGAGCCGAACGAATCAAAACTACTCAAATGGGGTAAAAACTAGTCAATATATGCTCAAGAGTTCATATTCTAACTATTAAAGTAATTTTCCAACCCTAAATGCAAGATTTCTAAAATTCATCCCCGGACCCACGTGCCCGGATTCAGGAAATTTTTGAAGAAAGTTGTTACCCATGACCTAATGAAAATAAATATATGATTATTACTAAGTTTCATGGTCAAATTCGTGCTAAAAATCTCATTCTTGACAAACCCTAGGTTTTTCTCTAATCCCATAAATTTTACTAATCTTTACATGTTAATCTACCCATAATCTAAGTATTTAACTCACATATAGTAGGAATTACTTAGCTCCAAAAGCTTGGTGGAAAACCCCTCTCAAGAAGCTCTAAAATCGCCCAACAATGGAGTAAAATGAGTCAAAAATGACTAACTCCCGTATTAAATGAAGGCCACTACCTTCAGCGATTTCCGCACCTGCGGTGCGTTGACCGCACCTGCGGTGCGTTGACCGCATCTCTGGTCCCGCTTCTGCGGACGATTGTCCGCTTTTGCGGAAATGGTCTGGGCCAGTTGGGGCCGCACCTGCGGACAGGTGACCGCTCCTGGGGTCCTGCTTCTGCGGCAGAGGAGCCGCATCTGCGGAACTTGGGCTCTTCTCCTTAGGCCGCATCTGCGATGCTCTAACCGCACCTACGAGCTCACACCTTTGGCTGGCCAACTGCAGGTGCGGTTATGACAGCAGCTGGAGCGTCAGCCTTTCTCAAATTTTCAACTTAGTTCGAGCCTCGTTCGATTGACACTCGGGGCCCTGCCCGAACAAACCGACAAGTTTGGAATCATAAAATGGACTCGCTCGAACCCTCGGAACGCCCGAAACAACATTAAAACTAAGAATCACACCGTAAACCAATTGAATCAAACTTATGAACTTCAAGTTCTTCAATTTACTTCCAATGCGCCGAAACGTACTTATACTACTCGAAATGAGACCAAATTTTGCGTGCAAGTCTTAAATGAAATTATGGAACTATTCCCGGTCTCGAAATTCTATTTGGACCTTGATATAACAAAAACCCACTCCAAACCAAATTTAAAGAACTTCAAAAATCCTTAAAGAACCAACTTTCACTATTAGGCGCCAAAACGCTCCTGGATCATCCAAAACCCGATCCGGACATGCGCCCAAGTCCGAAATCATCATACGAACCTGTTAGAACCTTCAAATCCCGAATCAGAGGTCATTTACTCAAAATATTGACCGAAGTCAAACTTGGCCTTTTAAGCCAGCCTTAAGGAACCAAGTGTTCCGATTTCAACCCAAACTCATCCAAATCCCGAACCAACCATTCCCGAAAGTCATAAATCTGTAAAAGCAAGTACGAGAAGTCTTATTTAGGGGAATGGAGTTCTAGAAAGCAAAATAACCAGTCGGGTCGTTACACTACTAAATTCAACAAAGTAGAATATTATAGAAGTTATCATGTATCAACATTTATTCCTCATTTAATCCATACAGCAGTAAAAAATTATTTTAATATGAAAATTTTGTCTTTTAATACCTGGGTTACTCAATAATGTTCTTTCTTCACGGAGAATATCTTCTGACAATAACTGCCACAATGATTGCCAAACAATTTTTGGTTGTGACATTGAATTTGATAACAACAACATGACAAATAACCGTCTTAGATAAGATGGCATTCTCCAAGTACTTGCTTCCTTTATAGCATCGACATACTCTTTGTCGTTATCTAATAACCCAAGTGCATAACATGCATCTCTAAAAGTAAGATAGTTCGGTTCTAAGTTTTTCATATGAAGTTGGACCTTTGATAATATTCAACAACAATCTGAGATAATATATCTCTCCACTCCCTGGAGTAACAAAGAAAATCCTGCCAATAGAAAATGCAGATTTTATCCTCTTTTCCCATTTTTTAAATTTTTTGTTCCACCAAAATTTAAGAGGAAATTCTGCGTAAGTCAAATCTCTTGCTTCCGAATAAATTTTGTTTGCCTCAAACCATCCTAAAAACATAGATTCCTTTACAATTGGTCTATTGGCAACATTATCAATTGGATCATCATCAGAGAAAATGACACTTTGTTCATTTGGAAGATGGAATGATAGTCTTTCTACTGACAGTTCTTTATGATGAATTGGGAATTTAAATATTCTCCAAGCAGCTTCATATAGGGATATGTAGCGACAATCATAATACATGTTAATTTCATCAATGGTTGAGGAACCATTGTCATGAGTACTTTGAGAAAAAGCAGCAGTTGCACGATCATGACCTTTATTGACGTACTTAAGTAAGTATTTAATGGATCTTGTTTGATTGCACCATTCCACATTGATATGAGCGCCATATTTTAATAATAAGAAGCGATTGTGTGGCACCACATACCTGTCATCCAAATGAATACCATTTTTCATAATTCTTCTACCATTACCCCTTCTTCTATAAACAGGATACCCTTCTTCATCAACCGTTGTTGCGTCAACAAACTTTTTAAGAAAGCGCTTTGTACATCTACCATTCTGCAAGCAAGGAGAATATTTCCTACCAGAACCACATGGACCATGCATCATTAAATTTTTTACGGCATTACAATAATTAGAATCACCCACCTCATCTGGTATTTCTACCAAAATTATTCGATCAATATCTGACGCAGATGGAAATTTATTATGCTCATGAAGAAAAAGTAAGATATAAGCATGAGGCAGCCTCGTTTTTGCAACTCAATGGTGTAAATCACTGCATTGGAAATTATGCAAGTTTATTAGAAAAAACAATTGTCTGAATTGTAGAAAAAAATCATATAAAATCACCATCTTATTTAAATTAAATTCTAAATATTGTATACCTGCTTTTATTTATCCAAAAACTTGATTATCTCTCAAATCCTTTATTAAGTGGTCCAATTTAATTTTGAACACCCTACTTAAAATGTCTGGACGATCTTCAGGATTCAAGCCCCTGCTCTCCACAAATCTGGTAATCTCTGGCCACTTAGGATTGCAAGTAAATATGATAAAAAGATTAGGGTACCCAGCCCATTTGTATATTGCCATAGCATCTTGATAATTCTGAACCATATATCGTGCACCCCCTGTAAAGCTTGGAGGTAGAATTATCCTTTTACCTTGGGATGAAGGATCAATATCACCATGCAATATAGCATCTGCTAGGACTTTACAAGAATCAACTCTTAAATGATTTTGATGAGTCCTTATAAACTTCAACCAAGAAGATTCTATCATTGTATAACCATCAACTAAAAATTGCTGAAATAATTTTCCTGGAGACACAATGGTTGGAACTTCATCTTTTCTTTCCTGAATTCTATAAGCGAAAAATTCTCGCATACTTACACATTGCCTTCCTCTCGATGATTCATCACCTTGACTTAAAGGAATGTCCTCTACCCATCTTCACCATAAGGAAAAAGCAAAGGATATTGTAGACCTAAATATGCAGCATTTAGTTCATTTATCCTTTGTAATTGTCCAGATTGTGTTTCTATAATGATATCGCGATCATTTCCAGAAACTTCAAAATCACCAACCACTAAAGCAGCTACTTCTGGTATTGTTGGTAAGTTATATCTTCTACCATCAGTACCTCTTTTCCCTATTAATCTGAGCTTAACATTGGAGTCTATATTCTCTTGGAATCGATCTCTGACCATCCTAAATGTCTTTGCCAAAATATTATTGTCATCAAGCATTTGTTTCAGATCTGAAACAATTTGAGCATGAATTTTCTTAATATCTTGGCCATGACTGAAAAAAATATATGATAACAATAAAGGTTTTTAAATTAATTTTTATTTTCATAGTATTATATAATAAAGGTATAAGGCTAACCTGATAGCGTTGATTCTATTTGTAACTTCATTCTCTGTATCACATATAAATAACTGTGCAAATTTTGGAGTAGATCCTTTAGGAGGTAGTAAGCTCCCAATTTGATGATAATTTTGACCACATAATCTGAATGTTCTTGGCCCTCTTTTCTGGTTGATAGAAACATCAACCTAACCCTCCATTGATGTAAATAAGAAGATAGAGTTATAACTCCTAATATTTTCTCGAAAATGGCTACTTTTAGGACCTATATTAAAACCATTGCAAAATGATAAATGTGAATACAAGTTTTTTGAACATGTTAATATTAAAAGTTATAATTCCTCTAACCTGATCCAAATAAAAGCTATTCCAAAACTTCAGGAGGCTTCTTAAGATCTGGAAGCTTTATTTTTCCACGATCACAACACATTGTGAAAATAGGTTTTTTTGAGTTGTAATGCTTGCAGATTCTTTCATATGTAGCATCTCCTATATCCCAGTAATCTATACTTGCAATAGTATATAAAGTCAAAGACAGAAGATTATTGATTTGTTTTATCAAACTGTGTTGTGTGAATTAGGAGTTTCTCATAAGTACCTTCAGTATAAATTTCGCCACATTCAACATCCACCTCTAAGAAAAGTAGTAGTTAAATCAATTAATAGGGATGGTACGTAGATATATACATCTATATTTGTCAATATAGATTGTTCTTTAATAACAACAGAAAAGTGCAAAGATATGGTTTTCATACCTGGATATTCATCTTCATATCCTATATTATTTTTCAACTGCCCTGTTATGTGTAAAATTTGTGAGTGTATATTGATATAAGACAGATACTACTGCTACTTCTACTCCGCCAATCATCCATAGGCTCTCGTAGAGAAGCTTTCCCCTCATTGCACACTCTACTTAAGTAACTTTAGATTCATATAGCCACATGTAGTATAATGTCATTATTTAAAGGTAAATCAATATCTCATAGAAACATACCGTGTATGACAGTGTTGTTTATTTCAGTCTCGATTTCTAGTAAGAGAGTTCCACTAATTAATTTTTATTAATGTTAACATTGTAGTTTATTTTTAACTAATAACAATGAGAATTTCAGATGCTTACCTTCTATTATTGGAGTTTCATTTAAATCTGGCAGAGAATTATGCATTTGCATATCTACATAGTAGTAGGGTTGTTAGTATTAATTGAAAGGTTAATATGACAATCAAACTTTTAATACTTCTTCGATTGGAGTGTCATTTAAATCGGGCAATATATTGTCATCGTACACACCTATGATGAGAATGTATAATTTTAAAAGTAATACAGATAGAACAAAATATGTGAACAAAAAATGTATATAATGAAGGTCTAAAATAAGAACACCATTAAGGAACTAAACTTGCAATATAGGAGTTGTGTTTAAATCAGGGAGAAGATAATTTGTTTGCATGTCTGCACAATGAGTTTTATATGCACCATTAGTTGTATATCTACTAATCAACTTAGCCAAACATTATGACAAGAATAAATTATGGTAAATTAAGTTGTAACAACACCACTATAAATATATTAAATAGATGACACTGTCACTCACCATTTGTTATTGTAATGATCCGCCCTGTTGTTTCGAGAGGTATAGCCTCGTTTCCCCATTTCTGCTTCTTTTTGTGTTTTTCAGCTGTATTACGATATGTTGGGTCAGGTGGCTCGGCCCTGGAGTGGTTTCGGAGAGGATTTGAGACATTTAGTCTCTTTCGCGAAGGCTTAAGTTTGGAAAGTTGATCGGATGTTGACTTATGTGTAAACGATCTCGGATGTGAATTCTGATGGCTTCATTAGCTCCGTTAGGTAATTTTGGACTTAGGAGCGTGTCCGGAATGTGATTTGGAGGTCCGTGGTAGAAATAGGCTTGAATTGTCGAAAGTTGGAAATTTGGCGATTTTGGTCGGCAGTGGAAGAATTTGATATTGGGGTCGGAATGGAATTCCGGAAGTTAGGGTAGGTTCGTGGAGTCATTTTTGACGTGTGTGCAAAATTTTAGGTCATTCGGAGGTGATTTGATAGGTTTCGGCGTCGTTTGCGGAATTTGGAATTTAGAAGTTCTTAGGCTTGAATCCGATGGTAATTTGGTGTTTTGATGTTTCTTTGAGTGTTCCGAAGGTTCGACTAAGTTCGTATGTTGATATTTGACTTGTTGGTGTGTTTGGTTGAGGTCCCGATGGCCTCAGGACGATTTTGGGTGATTGACGGAACAAGTTTGGAATTTGAGGAATGCTGAAGTTGAACTCAACTGTCATAACCGCACCTGTAGAGTGGGAACCGTAGGTGCGAGCCCGCAAAAGCGGAGAAGGAGCCGCAGATGTGGCCAAGGCTGAGGTTGGCTGGATGCGCAGGTGCGAGAATTGGAGCGCACCTGCGAGACCGTAGGTGCGATTTTGTGGCCGTAGAAGCGGATTCTGAGGGAATAAGTGGGAACCGCACCTGTGATGGATTTTCCCCAGGTGCGGCATCGCAGAAGCGAGTATTTGGACCGCAAATGCGGTATCTCTGGGCAGAAAGTATAAATTGTGGACTTCGCGAATTTTGGTCCATTCTTCACCATTTTCAGTCGATGTTGGAGCTTTTGGGAGCGATTTTGAGGAGGGATTCAAGGGATTATCAGTGAGGTAAGTTGCTTGAGCCCTAATACTCGTATATATGGTGATTTCCCGTTGTTTAATCATGTAATTAGTGAATATTAGGGGTGAAAATGAGGGGTTAGGGCTTGGGACCTTGGAGAGTTTGATTCGGGGATTTGAGGGGCCAAATGGAGTCGGATTTTGATGAATTTTGTATGTATGGACTCGTGAGTGAATGGACTTTCTAGTTCTGTGATTTTTGCCGGATTCCGAGACGTGGGCTCGGGGGCCGGGTTTGAGCCGATTTCGGGATTTTTGTCTAAATTGATAGTTTTTCTTGTGGAATTCATTCCAATAGCGTATATTGATGGTATTGTACTAATTGTGAGTAGATTCGGAGCATTTGGAGGCCGAGTCGAGAGGCAAGAGCATCGTGGAGTAGGATTTTGGCTTGGTTTGAAGTAAGTAATGCTTCCAAACTTGGTTCTGAGGGTTCGAAACCTCGAACTATGTGTTATGTGATTAGTATTGAGGTGACGCACATGCCAAGTGACGGGCGTGCGGGTGTGCACCGTGAGAATTGTGGCCTGGTTCATTCCATGGCATCATTTAGTGACTCTTTCTTGCTGATATCCATTTTCTATCATGTGATTAAGTAAATGAGCTGTAAATCATGCTAGATATCATGTTAGGGCTTTACGCCGATACTGTTGGGACCCGAGTGGTCGTTTCTTGCTATTATCTCATTGATTTCATTGATATTCTGTACTCAGTCTTATTCATGCATTTCATATCATGTCTCAGTCTTAGTTGTTATTTATTGGCACATCATACCATTGTTCCGGGCTAGTTTTATGGCATTGTGATCCCGTGTGTGAGACTGGAGAGTGATGACTGAGTGAGGCCGAGAGCCTGATTATGAGTGATAGTTATAGGATCGGGCTGCACGCCGCAGTGGTTATGTTGATGATTATGATAGCGCTTGGACTGTAGGAGCCCCTCCGGAGTCTGTAACACACCCCTAGTGAGCGCAGTTGATGTTATTAAGGGATGGATCTTCCCTGGACATGGATCTTGTCCGAAGTAGTTAAACCTAGAGATGGATCTTCTCCATAGGCCCAGAATGGCCTTCCTCGGTACTGAGTAACTGCAGTGTTGTGTATATATTCCGGGATGGATCTTCTCTGGGCCAGATGGCCATATACAGTACCAAGTGGTTGAGCACTTGAGAGTGGAGGTACATGGTACATTTTCATGCATTCTGTTCATTGGTACGTAGACATTAGCTGAGTCTTATACTTCACATTGTTCAGATTTGTATTTACTATCCTGTGGAGCTGAATACTTGAATTGAAAGCATGCCTAATTTTCTGCACAGTTTATTTTCTGTTACTTGTTGAGGTTAAGTCCATCACTACCTATCAGTCCATAGTTTGGACTTGTTACTTACTGAGTTGGTGTACTCACGTTACACCCTGCACCTTGTGTGCAGATCCAGGTATTTCTGGCCACGGTAGTGGCTGTTGACTATTCCAGTTGCAGACTTTCATCGGAGATAGCGAGGTGGCTGCCTGGCGATCGTAGTCTTGCTTTTCTCCTTCTTTACCTTCCTTTTTTTGTATTTTGGTTACTCTCAGACTATGTTAGTCTTGCTATCTTTTAGAATAGCTTGTAGTAGTTGCTCATGACTTAGTGACACCACGATGTCGGCCTATTTATTTCCGCATTTTGTTTTTGAGTTGAACTCTTTTATGACATTTTAGTATGAGAAAGGCTTTTATCTATCTTTTAATGAAATATCGAATTGTTTTTGGAGTATGTCGGCTTGCCTAGTTCCATGATAGGCGCCATCACAACGGGGTATAGTTTTGGGTCGTGACAAGTTGGTATCAGAG